CCGAAAAGCCTTTTCAGCAAAAATTAATTCCCGTGAAAATAAAGTATTCCACAGTATTATACATTCAAATGGATGTAATTGGTCGTACTGAAATAATAGCACCAGCAAAAAAATAAATAACTGAATTATGTGTGTTTATATACAAACAACTGTAGGTCCTGCTGATACATTGGCACAAGTTACAATTCGTGCAAACGATGGCACTCAGGGAGTTGTACAGTTTGCTAACACCTCAGCTAGGTAAGATTAGTACTGTAAAATCTGTATTAAAAGCCGCGGCTTCTATTAAAATGGTACAATGCAACAGAGGGGATGCGGCTTCTATTAGAGCATCTACACATATGAGAAATGATGAATTTTTTATTCTAAATTATTCAAAAAGAATGGGTGCGACTTCTATTAGGGATGCGGCTTCTAATACAGATTTTACGGTACTCAAGATTGGTGTTCAAGTTAAATTTATCCTCTTTTTGAAATTATGAAAAATGCATTTGAAAAAAATATGAATTCTATCTTTGTAAATTATCTTTCATCACTATGGAGAGTTTAACCACGCTGACATGACTTATTAGTCAGTTTCAAATTTGCATAGGTCTATTCATTGGAGAGTGCCTAAAATATAATGATGTAACGTAAAAGTTGTAGGATCATTTATTTTCATATTGTGTATTTCCATTTCAGCGTAACAGTCACTGAACGCAGCATGAACGTCACATTGATAGTAGAACGTATTCAAGGTACATACGGAACCGTCACTGTATTCTGTTATACCCAACCATTAGAGGCTGACAGACAACTTGACTACATATTCACTGATCAGGTGAGTGCAATGATACCATAGTTACCCATAGCAATGACTATTTCTAGGATTTGAAATTGTGTGAAATGATATTTAGTTCCATGTGTGGAGTGTCTAAGACTTTTCAATTTGTGAAAAGTCACTGTTCTAGTATCCCAACCAATTCACTAAGGAAATTAATTTACACATGTTGTCAATTGTCACATGTTTCTCATTTATGTTGACTATTTCATAGAAGTAGAAATGTAGTTTTAATGCGAACACCAGATATTTAATCTAATGTTCATTATTTGCAGGTGTTGACATTCACGGATGGAGAGAGCATGAAGATAATCGTCATGGAGATACTGGAAGATGACATTCCTGAAGATGATGAAACGTTTGAAGTTATCCTTGATAATGTTAACTATGGTCTAGAACTTGGCACTCCTAGGAAAGGTAGAATATAATCTCCAACACTAATGAGTTCATTCAAAATTAAGGTTTTTTCAAAATTCGGCTTATCAATGATATTATGTGTTTTCAGATCATAGTATTTGATTAGTAATGCTTAGATAAATAACAAACATGTGTCTGTGGTCACAATTTGTCATTATTATCCAGTATTGTAAAGGATTAATTATTCACTGGGTTTTAATTTTGCTTGTTTCGCTGACCGGAAAATGTGCTAAATTAAAACCCAGTGAATATGTAAAATTTAGCCTAGAACACTTTATCTAAATGATAAAACCGTGAATTTAAAACCAACTAAATATGCCTGAAATGGTAAATTAGCGAAATTTAAATCCAGTGAAAATTAGTCGTTTTACAGTATGCAATTAATGGCTAGTATGTGTTTTTATTGGTGCAGCGCTTCTAATAGACCAAATATATATTTTTTTCTGTAGATATTTTGCTTTAAAGCGAGAGGATCGTCACCTCCACACGCGCAGGAATTGAGTTCAAAGCGACGATAACAACACACGCTAAAAACACAAAGGCTCATGAGTATACGCTTGTTTGTAAACAATAACACGCTATGGCCATATGAACGCATGTACAGGTGACGACTCCCCCGCTTTAAATGAATATAAATTCATTAATTATTATAAAAAAATCAATATATAACTAATGATTGAATGATGCTGTTTTGTTCACAATTGCAAGCCCACAATACGTTGCTAGGTAACCAGTAACATTGCAGGGTAATTCACTGACTATTGTCAACGTTTAACTTTTTCAGCAACTGTCACCATTCTCGCTAATGATGATGCATTTGGTGTTGTATCCTTTGCGAGTTTTGTCAATGTAACAATCTATGAACCGACAGAGACCAGTACGGCCGACAGCGTTGCTCGATTCACTGTGGTACGGGATCGAGGAGCATTTAGAGAAATTCAGGTGCCATTCCTGGTCACTAACATAGATGGTGGACAGGCAGTTGTTGATGTCACACCAGTTGAGGGGTTTATCACATTTGAAGCTGATATTGATACAACGGTGAGTAAATAATGACACCAAAAATCTGCACTTTCTTTCACTGTACTTGCTTGTTACACCAGAGGTCAAATTTGATGTAATAGAATTTGATTTGAGTATACCCCTCAGGAACTTTGTAATTGCTAAATCTTTTTGAAAAAAGTATCATATTAACATAATAATATTATACATCTGTTACCATCACCAAACGTTACAGTCTGCTGTAATTTTGCATGCATTCTACCATATTAGGAAATGTGAATTCTAAATATGCAATGATTACGTCGTATTTCCAAAGTTCATAAAGAAAGTTTCAATAATCTTCACTGTTTGACTCTGGGCAATCCTACACTAAGCAACTAGATCAGGAAGACCTATAATAATAAGGTTATTATGTGTATACAGCACAAAAAATGACAGTACACGGCGGCATCAACCCCCGCTATGTGTCAGCCGATACTTTTGCTGTATTGTCTTCATGCATACTTTGTGGCATTTTTGTAAAAACCTCATAGTCTTATCAATATATTGGTGAGGAATTTCTGTACACTTGAAATAAGCAATAATTAAATCTACAAGTCTGTTTTGCATGTTCTCAAGTTTTCAAGATGTTAATTTCTTAATTAATTCTCACTTCAGGTATTAGAAATTTCTGCTGTGTTGGATAACGAACCCGAACTTGATGAAAGCTTTATGGTGACTTTACTGGAACCCACAGGAGGTTCTCAGCTTGGATTCCCTAACACAGGATACATCCAGGTTGCTGACAATGATGCTCCTTTTGGTTTGATGCAGATCTATCCTTTAGCAATACCAGGGTAAGAGACACATTACTATCTAAATGATCCAATACAAATATGATTGACTATGGTATATTAAACACTTTGAATAACCACAAAGACTACATCATCGCTGTGTCTGTCCTAGTTTGGGATTCACTTATTTATTCTATATATATATATATTTAATTCTTTATTTTTCAAATATTTTATAAATATTTTAAGTAATAATAATTGCAATTGTGGTAGTGAGTATGAAATAAAATGTACATAATGAATTAAATATATATAAAATAAAAAATATACTCTCCATACACTATATCGGATTTTAATCAGTTCGCAACAGCACTCTGACTATGAGATAACGCATATTTCTCTCACTTTTTCATTTCAGCTGTGGTTAGACCACATCTAGTTAGATTAACACATTGACATTGACATCCTGTATCAACAGCATTCACAACTTTGTGTTGACGACATTATTTAACATTTAATGTTTAGTTAAAACAAAAAATGTTTTTCTCTTTAACCAAACCACAATTTTAAAGCACTGTCCATCTCAATTTCATAGAAAATACAGTAACTATTTATTTTGATAAAAGTTGAAAATATACCAGTGAATTGGGTTCCCAAGATTATGTCATTAACAAGGGATACTGAACATTGATTTTTATTAACAGTGGATCATCGGTTAATGTGGAAGAAAATACAAATGTTGCATATTTCACTGTATACCGGGCTAGAGGAACTCTAGGAGCTGTGACTGTCAACTGGATGACTTCATCTGGTTCAGCAAAGGCAATAGGTAAATATAATTTGCTGTAATAGGAGATTACAAACTGTTTTTAAGTATTGCATCTACTGTAAAAACATGCGATAACAATTCCTATTGCAAATACATGTATTATCTTATGTTGCATGTTCTCCTGTCAATGCATCCACTTTTTTCATTATCATGGTTACATACAAGAAGATCAGGAGACAAAATAATGAGAGAAAAATAAACACTTTTTGAGAGACGAAAACTAGCCTTGTGGCTTTATCATTTGCAATCTTGTCTGAAAATTGTTAGTGTGGTTTTAGAGTAAAACAAAATTGTGATTGTTGCCACATACTCCATCTTTCTGTATTGCATACGTTTTCGTATTCAGTGTCTTCATGTTTCTAAAATAGAATAACGTCAGTGGAAATTTACCGGTAATCCATGATTACTGTATCACTCATGTGTAATATTTCATTTCAATTTATTTCAGTTGGTACAGACATGACAGAACTATCAGTTGTGCAGACCTTATCAGGGCGTGGTATCCGTAGTTGGCATAGCTTTGATATTGGTATGGATCAGTATCTAGTGCTAGTTAACGGTGGTAGAATGGGTGTGTTGACTACTGTGGTTGGTAGTGATGGATCAGACTCTGACAACATGACATCTAATGCCAACTCCCTGCTTTATAAATGGCAAGGAGAATATATACCAGTACAGGTAATAAATACATTTCCTAAAGAAATAAAAAATATGTTGACTGAGATAAACAATAAAGTTTTTATAATCAAAAATATGTTCTTCCAGCAGTTTACAAATTTTAAACTAAATCAGACTCGAATATGAATTTATTCACAGATTTTCTAACAGTAACTTTTTTTTGAACCGAATATCAGTTATGGAAATAGTTGTTTTTGGTTTTTTTGCTATTTATAACTGAAATACAATCTGTGCCTATTTAATAAACTGACAACTGTTAATTACTATGTACTTATGGAGTGAATGTTAATATTTCAGACTATTGAAACTGATGGTGCTGTGCAAGCTACTAGTACTGTAATAGGAGGTTATATGTTTCTGGCTATTGCTAACCACGGTGGACCTGGACGTTATAGTACATCATCGCGAATATATAGAGTTGGTGCAGACGGCACTCTCAATGTGGTAAGTACTAGGGATTGTTTTGGATTCTTCATTCACTTAGCACATTGCTAAAAAATGCATTTACTGATTTGAATATGTGTAAGCTGTGGCATTCCTGGCTTAAATTATAAACGCTTCACTGGATTCAAAACCAATCATTGTTGAAATTTATTTGCTGGAAATTATGCAAATTTGCATTCTTACCTTTTGTTATGTAAATTTTGGAACCTTTTTAAATGTACATTTTTGTGACTAATTTACTTTCGTTGTACTGGCGATAGATGATGCTGAAGTGCCGCAGTGGAATGACATATGTAAATATAACAAGTTACGTGGTTGTTGATGATAAAAAGTTCTATGTATATCTATACATCAGCAGGTCTTGGGCAATGATATAACTAATGTAGAAATTACGGCCACAAGATATGGCGAATCAGTTGACAAAAATAACTTCCATACCCTACAGGCACAGTATAACCTGTCGATATTACATAATTCACAAACGTCTTTTTACTTCCTCAGTTTCAGGATATACCCACGGAGGGTGCGAGTGATGTCGTTTTCTTCAAAATTGCTTCCACCACTTATCTGGTAATAGCAAATGAAATGAACAATAATGAACAGACAACAATCAGTTCGCAAGTATTTGTATGGAGCGGGTCACAGTTTGTTCAGTCTCAGTTACTCAGCACCACTGGTGCTGTGAGTCTAACTGCATTTACTATCGATGGAGAAGTGTACATTGCTATGGCAAGTCGGTATGATTCATCACAAGCAAGTTTAGAAATAGAGTAAGTTATTCAGTTTATGGGGTCACACCAATTACTACCACACACCCGCTATTTGTTAGAAAAAATGGGCCTTGCTACTACCAGCCAGTTGAACCCTGGAATTGGTATAAAAAAATGGTATCACCCATAGTGCCTCTGGGGATTATGGGTAATACCTGTGGAATCTTAAATTCCTCGCTTTTCCAGCAGAAGACAGAGGCTGGGAATTTGGGAGATGCTGGACAATTTATTTAACTTTTTCATTAGTGTGCTGTTTTTTTCTAATAAACTAGTAAGCATCTCTTCTATTTTATTTTATTTATTTAATGAATGAATGTGACTCGATTGCATCTCATGTATGATGTTGCCTGCCCCTGTTCTTATCTACCCTTGGCAATAATTAATTTGCTTCACTCAAATGCTTTGATGTATATTGTGTGCATCTGTGTTTGCGTGGATGCACTCATTCGTTTTATCCAGCCATATTTCTCAAACGCTTGAGCAAATCAAGATCAAACTTCACACATAATAAGACATTATACCGGACATATGCTCATGCATTTGTTGACCTGATTCAAAATGGCTGAATGGCAGCCATTTTAATGCCAAAAATGCATCGGAATCACACATTTTCATTATTCCAGAACTGAATCTCAGTCTTGTGTGAACAGATTTGCTTTAAACATGGTATATACATGGAACACAATAGGGCTTTGATACACATCTTTTGTATTTTTGGGATCGCTGGTGGCCATTTTCCAAAGAATGAAGTTTTATATCCATAATATTCAACATACTTGGACCGATCAAACTTCATACATACATCAAATCGGACAAACGAACAATCATTTTTCCAGTGGTTGACTGGTGGTCATCTTGTTTAAACAAATTGAGTTCCACATAACGACATCTCAGATTACCCAGGACTATGTATAGCATACCTAACTGGATTTGGCTCGTGTGGCTTCTATGGGAATAGATTTAGGACAAGATCTAGCCTACATTCTCTTTTCTTCTGGACCATCTTGGTCAAAGAAAATTTATTGTTTCAGGGAAGGTTCTGCCCTTGTAATAAAAAAAAACGTTCTCTGATTTCCTCACTTTTGCAGTGTGTCTCTATGTTGGCTCTGCCGTGTCTCTTAAGTTTATCACTATGTGTTGTAATTTCATCATTGGAGGAACCTTTTAGTCATAAAAGTCATTACCTGATGAATATGACTTCTAAATATTTTTCTGACCAATCAGTTTCAGGGCACCAACTTTATTACTGTTCGGTTTTTGTTTTCACAAGCTTTTACCACAAATGGCTAGGCTACAGTCTATTTGATTTGTACTTAATATCACTATTTTTCTGTATTAGAAATAAATCACTCATATTTGAATTTATTCTTGTTTATTACAGTTCTGTTATATATAAATGGAATAGTAACCGTCTTGAGGAATATCAGCGTATTTCAACACAGGGAGCCACAGATGTTGACGCATTTACTGTCGGTTTAGACACATATATTGTGTTTGCTAATAGTAAAGCTAACGGTGAGTCATGGTAGATAAGTAGTGAAACTTTGGGAGAGATGGGTAATACTCAAGGTAGATAACAGATAAAGCTGTACACCTATTCAGGATTATGAGTGTTATAAGAAATTGAGGGAGGAATGATCTATGGAAATACTAATGTAACGTAAATGTATTGTAAGAGAGTCTGTGAAAGATCGGTTCATTGTTGGTTTAAAGTTATATCCATAGACTGCCATAGTGAGATCATTTTTCGAAATTATCAAAACATTAGGTAAATTACCCAGAATGCAAGTTATCAAAACATTAGGTAAATTACCCAGAATGCAAGTTATCAAAACATTAGGTAAATTACCCAGGATGCCAATTCCTTGAAGATTAAACTCTTATTAAGCTCTTATGTCCTCCTGTGACATTCTCTGATAAGCGTCTACGACACACATTAGCATTCACCTTGATGTTCACTGACATCTACTTATATGACATTCACCAACAAGCATCTATGACATTCAGAAATGGCCACCTATAACTTTCTGTTGGTCTGAGTAGGTTTGGTTGACACATAAATGAAATATGTCCTCGCGTGACATTCTCTGATAAGCGTCTACGACACACATCAGCATTCACCTTGATGTTCACTGACATCTACTTATATGACATTCACCAACAAGCATCTATGACATTCAGAAATGGGCACCTATAACTTTCTGTTGGTCTGAGTAGGTTTGATTGACACATAAATGAAATATGTCCTCCTGTGACATTCTCTGATAAGCGTCTATGACAAACATCAGCATTCACCTTGATGTTCACTGACATCTACTTATATGACATTCACCAACAAGCATCTATGACATTCAGCAATGAGCACCTATAACTTTCTGTTGGTCTGAGTAGGTTTGATTGACACATAAATGAAATATGTCCTTCCGTGACATTCTCTGATAAGCGTCTACGACACACATCAGTATTCACCTTGATGTTCACCGACATCTACTTATATGACATTCACCAACAAGCACCTATGATATTCAGAAATGGGCATCTATAACTTTCTGTTGGTCTGAGTAGGTTTGATTGACACATAAATTAAATATGTCCTCCTGTGACATTGCACAGTACTTCTATTGTTACTTCAACTAGATGAAATAAAGCCACAATCAAATTATGTATTTCCGTCTTTCTCACCCGTGCACATTGTCCGATTACGCTTACTCGTATATTGGCATACCAATTTGGTATTTAGAAAACCATTAGAGTCCATACTTGTTTGATACAATGCTATTCTTCTCATGACATTCTTTCTTCACTAATGTTTTCACAGATGGCAGTACTGACATTGATTCTGAAGTATTGAAATGGGACACCAACACTCGAAAATTCATCTCCCATCAACGACTGAGTACAAACGAAGCACAATCTGTGCATCCGTATGACGTTGACGGAACACAGTATCTGACCGTCAGCAATGCACTTGGTGAATCTACTATATATGTATGGAGGACCTCACAGTTTGTTGCACTAGTTACAGGGCCACCTGCTTATGATGTATATCCAGTCACTGTCAGCAAAGATCTTGATGAAGACATGGTGTTGTTAGCCTTGGCTAATTTTGGAGATGGTTTCTCGTTTTTGACGTCTCATATCTACACTGTTGCTATGTTGGGAGAAGGATCTGATTATGCACCAAGGTAGGATGTGAATTTTAAACTTAGCTTAGCTTAGCTTTGTGAAGCTTTTAAATCAAAGTAGCAATGAAAATTGCACAGTTTTTGTACCATATCATGTTTAACATGGGTCCCACAATTCATGACGATTGCGTCCTTTCAAGTTTTTCTGTTGAGTTGATTTTTCAGTGTTTGATTAGGAAAACTATTCTCAACCATAGACTGTAATGCAGCAAGACTTTTGATCAAGTTTCATTGTCATTCAATGTAGTCTTATTTAATGCACTTGAAGTAACAGTCATTGTACAGAGCTCCAAAGCAGAAATAGAGTGTGAATATGAAGCTTAAAATACACCACATGCATAAGACAGCTGAGGACAAGCCAATCGTAGATCATAGTTTGTACCAGTTACTATGAATTCAAGACACCTCTATAACTGTAATTACAAATTCTCTCTGTGGTTTGTAGGTCTGGTTTGTTGTCATTCGGACCAGGTGAAAACCAACGAATGGTTGCCGTTTCCATCCTAGATGATGAGATTCCGGAGGATACAGAAGATTTTTATGTTTCACTTAACAATCCAACTGGGGGAGCTGAAATAAGCAATCAGAATCAAGTGTTGGTGAACATCTTATCCAATGACAATGCACATGGTGTGATTGCATTTGCTGATGTATGTACTCTATTATTTTCACATAGTCATAGTCACTTGATGTTGCTATGTTTTATTAAATTCTGTCACATGTACACTACAGGCATGTTTTGTTGAATCACTCACATGCTATTGACATGTTTGATTACATTAGTCATATGCTATTGCCATGTATGATTAAATTCTGTTACAAGCTACAGACAGTCACATGCTATTCCCATGTTCCATTAAATTATGCCACATGCTATAGCCATGTTTGATTAAATCAGTCACATGCTATAGCCATGTTTGGTTAAATTAGTCACATGCTATTGCCATGTATGGTTAAATCAGTCACATGCTGTAGCCATGCATGGTTAAATCAGTCACATGCTATAGCCATGCATAGTTAAATCAGTCACATGCTATAGGCATGTATGGTTAAATCAGTCACATGCTATTGCCATGCATGGTTAAATCAGTCACATGCTGTAGCCATGCATGGTTAAATCAGTCACATGCTATAGCCATGCATAGTTAAATCAGTCACATGCTATAGGCATGCATGGTTAAATCAGTCACATGCTATAGCCATGCATGGTTAAATCAGTCACATGCTATAGCCATGCATGGTTAAATCAGTCACATGCTATACATGTAGCTATGCATGGTTAAATCAGTCACATGCTATTGCCATGCATGGTTAAATCAGTCACATGCTTTAGCTATGCATGGTTAAATCAGTCACATGCTATAGCCATATGTTTAGTTAAATCAGTCACATGCTTTAGCCATGCATGGTTAAATCAGTCACATGCTTTAGCCATGCATGGTTAAATCAGTCACATGCTTTAGCCATGTTTGGTTAAATCCGTCACATGCTATAGCCATGTTTGGTTAAATCAGTCACATGCTATTGCCATGCATGGTTAAATCAGTCACATGCTATTGCCATGCATGGTTAAATCAGTCACATGCTATTGCCATGCATGGTTAAATCAGTCACATGCTATTGCTATGCATGGTTAAATCAGTCACATGCTATTGCTATGCATGGTTAAATCAGTCACATGCTATTGCTA